CTCGAAAATGAAGTAAGACAGGCTATCAACAAGCTCAAATCTAACAAAGCACCAGGTCCAGATATGATAACAGCAGAAATGCTTAAAGCCACAGAAGAAACCGGCGTAAAGTTACTTCATCTACTCTGTAACCAAATATGACATTCCAAACAATGGCCTGAAGACTGGGCAAAATCTACAATAACGACCATACATAAAAAAGGCAGCTTCCATAAATGCGACAATTATAGAACTATCTCTCTTATATCCCATGCCAGCAAGATAATGCTACATATAATCAATGAGAGACTGCAAATATTCCTTCAAAGAGAAATTCCACAAGAGCAAACTGGATTTACCAAAGGTAGAGGCACTCGAGAACACCTGCTGAATATAAGACAGATAATCGAGAAATCTAGGGAATTCAACATCTCAGTATACATCTGTTTTATAGATTACCGTAAAGCGTTCGACAGGGTCAAGTGGAGACACTTATGGCGAATACTAAAAGTAGTAGGCGTACCACAACATCTAATTACGCTTATAACTGAACTATATGAACACACTACTGGATCAGTTAAAGTACTTGACACACTTTCGAACGAGTTTCATCCAGAATGGGGTGTCAGACAAGGATGTATACTATCTCCACAATTATTCAACATATATGGGGGGTATATTATGCGAAGAGCACTTGAAGGATGGGAAAAGAGCATCTCAATAAATGGTCATAAACTAAACAACCTACGTTTCGCAAATGACACAGCCCTTCTTGCAAGTAGTCAAGCAGAGCTGATGGAACTTATACGACTGATCGAAAACGAAAGTCAAATATTTGGTCTGCAATTAAACATATCAAAGACACAAGATCATGATAGTGGATAGACTATACAACAATCATCCACACATAACCACAATTGACCGGTTCGAGGTTGTGAGCTCATACTTATATCTGGGATCATTAATCACAAACACAGGGTCATTACAAGAAGAGATTAAACGTAGATGTGATCTATCAAAAGTTGCCACAGCAAAAATGACCAAAATATGGAAGGACTGTCAAATTTCAAGAGCGATAAAGATGAGGTTGATCAACTGCTTAATATTCCCAATACTGACCTACGAATGTGAATCTTGGACTCTGAGACAATCGAAGAGAAGAAAGATAGACGCCACTGAAATATTCTGTTGGAGACGAATGTTACGAATTCCTTGGACCGACCGTAGAACAAATAATTCAATTTTAACAGAGCTAAAAGTTAGCCAACGACTCTCTAGTAAAGTCCATCTCCAACAATTAAAATATTTTGGGCATGTTATGAGAGCAAACACAGAAAACATGGAAAGACTCATAATACAAGGAAAGGTAGAAGGCCGAAGATCACGAGGAATATCCCCAACAAGATGGATACATCAATTTACAAGAATATGCCAAAGACCTATGCATGAATTAAAAGAAATGACCAGAGACAGAGATCTCTGGAGACGGACAATACACGACATCACGTCGACCACTACACTCCCCCTGAGGGGTCAGGATCGAAGAGAGAGAGAGAGAGAGAGAGTCTTAACTTCGTTTTCATTCTTAGTTTAGTTTTCCTTCCTGCTAGTTCTGTTCTTGACGCTTTGGCCATGTTGGCTTTTGTACTGTGGGGTCTACGTGTTTACTGAACATTAAGCCTTTGTCCATAATTACTACTAAGTCACAGAATACTTATATTTACTTAAAAGTCTCTGCTCCATCTCTCTCTCCTCTCTCCAATGGAGCTACAGCCTATGCCGGCCCCGCCTGCGAGCTTCAGCTTCCTTCCTTGGCTGCTCTCCTCCAGTTATCCTTCCTAAATATATTTTTAACATCGGTTCTCACTTAATCTATCCATCTCTTCCTTGGTCTTCCACTAAGCGTTCTATTAGGTGTTCTGTTATTATCCATGCTTGACCAGCGCATAATTTGTATTTTTGCACAATTTTTTAGAGAGGGGAATGAGAAAAACCTGAAAATCTTCTAAGAAACCTTGCAAATGAGCTTATATATCCCTATTTAAAAAGTAAATCTACTACTACAAATCTGCCAGTTAGTCTCAAATTCCGAATTCGGGAAATTCGCGGCATCACAGATGTAACTCCTGCAATTCCAGAAAGAAATCAAACAAAGGGTCGTTGTGCATTTTGTAGTACCAAAAAGAACAGGTGTACTCGCTTTTTATGCATAAAATGCAAAATATTCATGTGCCTTGAACATACTCAAGGAATATGTCAGCTTTGCCTGAGTGCCACTAAATCAAGTGAAATGCTTACTTTATATTTTTGTTAAAAACCTGAGTTATTTTTTTAGTTAATATATATTTCTCTTAACTAAAAATTACGAACTGTTTTTCGATTTCAAAGATTTGAACAGTTTTCACTGTCTTCCTTTACTCAACCGTCTTCTCCAATTTTCCCTGTCATTCCAGTCTCCATCTCGCAGGGTTCTTTTCTCCATAGCCTCGTCGATTTCATCTCTGAATGACCTTCGGGGTCTTCCTCTCTTGCTTCTTCCGATCGGGCTCCATTCTGTGATTTTGTTTATCCAGCGTCCTCTGTCCGCTCTTCTGACGTGGCCGTACCAGGATAGTCTCTTCTCCTCTATATAGTCGATTATGTCTGATTGCACTCCCATTCTCCGCTTAATCTCTGCGTTTTCAATTCTGTCTCTTTTTGTAAGTATACAGCTTCTCCTCAGGAATTCTATTTCTACTGCTCTTATTCTACCTCTATTTCTCTTGTTAAAAGTTAAAAAAAAACTTTTTTTAATTTAATTTTATATAACAAATAACAATATATTGTTATACTAGTGTTTTTCATTTTGTATCTATTGTTTTTCAATAAAATATTTTCAAAAGTATTTTTTAGTCATTCCTATACACAATACAAAATATTTGTATGAATTTTATAGCAAAAACTATTTTTTTAATTGTCAGTCTCAGACACCCTAGCGACTCTTGATGCTCAGTTTATCCTAGCTCCTAACGGAGGGTTAAATTATATATCAAAATATTGAACCACTCCATCTAAAATACTAATTGTTTTTAGGTCCGTACCCACGTAGGTATATTTATATTTAACATAACAATACAACTCGACTTAAGACAATTCAGATGTCAGAATGGGATAAGTATAGTACAGAACCACATCAAAATAGTGATATAGTTCGTCTCACTCACCTGAATCCTTGGGAGGGCTATTTTTATCCCACCTTACCCTATTTTTGCGGCCGTCAGTTGTGTACGGTTGCGGTTTACCTGCAACTATTGCAAAACATCCTCTACGCCATCCTTCAATGATTTTGAGGTGTATTTTTGGAGGTTCCAATAGTAAAGAGAAGGAAAATTAGTGGATTTTGCATTGTTTGTGAAATGTCTATGTAGGTTATGTCGGCATTGTCGATTTATTAAAGTGGGTTTTAATATATAGTTAATTTTATAAGCTAATTTTCTAACTTAGAACTGTTTGTTTAAGTTTTATTAGCGAGGTTTTTACAATGAATGAAACCTCTTTTTTTATTCCTTCTAGAGCTTATTGTACTGCCAGAGTTATTTCTTTGCATTATTATCCAACTTTTATATCCATATAACTGAGTAGTTTTGGCCATTGTCTTGTAAAGTTTTATCATTGCATTGTTTCTTGTCTTATTCTTCAATGTTTTGTGCATTGTTTCCCAAGCAACCTGAAACCTGTTAATTATGTGATCAATATCTCTATTTTTTTCGAAACCTATCAAAACCCTAGGTAATTGATATTATCCATTTGTTCTAGTAAATCATTATCAGTTGGAAATCGTTTTTTTTTTGTATTCTATCATTTTTTGTTTTCACAGATAATTTTTGTCTATCGACGACGACTATATCCCTCTGTGGCTCAGTGGTAAGAGCGCCTACCTTTGAACCTTAAGGTCATGAGTTCGAATCTCACCTGGGTGGAAATTTTTGTTTATTAAATAAAATTAATAAATTAAAATAATTTCTATCCTTGTGTGATCGGTACTCACCGGAAGGACCGCAGACGTTCGGATACAATTAGCGTCTCTTAGCAAAGACAATGACGTCGACTTTGCTAAGTATCAAGACAATTACTCTACACACACAAACACACAAACACACACACACACTACATTAATAAACTTTTTGACAATTGTCCAAGCCAAAACACACAAAAAAAAATATCGACGACGACTGTACGAGAAAAAGAAACACGATTTTCGAGCCTCAGACTTTCTGGAAAGGAACATCTTTCTCAAAAAGGTAATATCGTTAGAGGAAAATCTGTTAAACCCGGTTTAAAGTGTAAATGTCACTATAGGTGTACAGAAAAAATTAGCCAGGAAAAGAGGCAAAAATTATTTGATGATTTTTACTCCATTCAAAATGTAAGAGGAATATGGAGCTTTATCAGCAGTAGAATTACGAAAAAAATACCTAATCGGCGATATAAATCAAATAATGAAGATGCCGCCTCTAGACGCAAATATCTGGAAAAAAAGTTAAAACGGCATTAAAAAAGTCAAAGTCGTCAGGTATCATAGAGGAGGACAAGAGAGGTCGAAAAGTTCCCCCTAACAAAATTCCAGATAATCAAAAGGAGGTAGTACGTAATCACATCAAATCACTACCGGTGATTGATCCTCACTATTGTCGAAGTTCAACCAAGAAGAAATACTTACCTTATGGTTTATCTGAAAAACAACTTTTTTTAAAAAACAACTTTACCAGGATTATTTAAAATACTGCGAAGAGTATCAGGAAGACTCAGTATCGTTTTATTATTATAAACATATATTTAGCACCGAATTTAACTATGATTTCCACAAACCAAAAAAAGACCAATGTAGCTTTTGCACGCAATTCGCAAATAAAATCGAAGACGAAAAAGAAAAACATCAAGATGAATACAATCTACATCAACTTCTAAAGAAGGAGACTAGAGAGCATAAGAAAATTGACAAAGATCGTGCTAAAATTGATAATACTTTCAGCACCTTCACTATGGATATGGAAAAGCTTTTATTGACTCCCCAATTAGAAGTGGGGCAATTATATTATAAACGGAAACTAAAAACCTACAATTTTACTGTGTATAATCTCAAAACTACTGTTGCTATTAACTACATGTGGCATAAATTGAATGGTACAAAAGGATCGTCAGAAGTAGTTACATGCTTATGGAACATGCTTTCTGAGCTACCATCTGAAGTGAGTGAAGTAACATTTTATTATGATACTGCAACAGGTTAAAATAGAAATTCCATTTTATCTGCAATGTTTATAAAAGCTTTGTCTTCTTTTGATAATTTACACATTATTAATCAAAAGTTCATGGAATCCGGACATTCCAAAATGGAATGCGACAGCGTTCATTCTGCGATTGAAAGTAGGGGACGAAAAATAAATATATATGTGCCTGACGGGTGGTACACGGGGGCAAGAACAGCTAAAGTAAATCACCCCCAATACGTCGTTAAGGAATTAGATTACAGCCATTTTTTAGATTTTAAAACTTACAGCGAAGAATTAATTATTAACAAAACGAAGACAAACGATGGCGATGTTATGAAGTGGCTAAATATCAAATGGCTACAATATAGAAAATAACACCTTGATATAATCTTCTATAAAACACAACTTAGTCAGGTAAATTTCAAACAATTGTGCATTCGTAGAAACAGTCGAGGTGACAACAATGTTTTCAGTGAGGTTCCGAAACTGTATCTTTCGGCTTTAGGAATAGAGTCTAAGAAACTAAAAGATCTACAAGATCTTTGTAGGTCAGATACTATCCCAGACACTTACCATGATTACTACCTTCGAATTTTAAAACCAATAGAGAGAATCGCTGCACACGATTCGGAATCCGAGTAGCGATAAAATAATAGGATTTCTGTATAATATTCGATGTTAAATAATATTCAATGTTAAAGACCAAAACCTAAATTGAATCTCTTATACTTTTGTGTTATTTTTGTATCCAAAATTAAACATTTTAAGCACAATATCACCTTGTATTATTTAATTTTGTAGAATTAGATCTTTTCACACAACACAAAACACTATGACTTGTAAAAGTTATCTAGTGGTGAATGGAGCTAAGTGAACGAAACCCTTCTACCCTCATATAAATCAATGTTTTATCAATGTTTGGTTTAGTACAAAGTAGGTAACACTTTGTGTGATAAATCCTAAAAAAATGTAGGAATAGTTCAATGAACAGGAAAGTTATAAGCTAAAATGTATTTTTTCCTGGACATGGCAATCTAAAATGCTCATTATCTCGAAACTGACTTTTGTTGGTTAGCTCTCTTCACATCCACGGCGACGATATATAACAGCTTTAGCAGGAAAGCAGTGGATGAGAATTGCAAAAGATTGGGAAGCGTGGAAGCAATTGGAGGAGGCCTATGTCCAACAATGGATAAATAAAGGCTGAAGAAAAGAAGTAATTAATAAGGAATTCTTTCATTCCATCTGCACTAAAGTTGTCTAATTCGGATGTCGAGGAAAAGTGGTTTGAGATGCTTAGATTAACACAGCGAACTAAATAGAAAAAGAAACATTAACGAACAAGAGTTTCATGGTTCAAGAGACTTGATTAAATTAAGTTCAATAAATACTCTCCATTGTTTTTTTTTAATTGAAAAAAAAGTCACAAAAGAGTTACAGAATAGTAAAACATTAATCCGTTTTTTTTTGTTATAGAAAATTCTTCATATAAAACCAATCATCTATTTTTATATAAAATCAAAAACCTTTTGCAGCTCTGCCGTGAAAAAACTATTAAAGAATTCCCATGCAAGCTAAGAATGCAAAAACCCTCAATCGCATACCTCAGAGTGAAAAATACATCCTCTACCCAATTAGAAACATTTGTTTATGAGGATTCTATTGTAGAGACAGTCAATTATCGACTAGTGCTGTCATTTGCAGCGATTTACGGCTTCGCGGCCACTTTTTTGAGTCTGAGAATTTCCGAAAATTTGAGAAGAGGGAATATTTGTGTGGAAAGAAGTCGACTGTCGGTCGTCTTTCGAGTTTGGTCCGTAGCCGACGCGTGCGGAATATTAAACTTTAAAACAATGCTGTGGAATCCACTAATAGTTCTGGCCAAATATGTACTCGGCCTGACAAAACATGTCCTGCATCCAGAGCAGTGGCGCGACCGCACATTCCTTCGGTGTTTCCTATGCATTCTCCTGAAATTCATCTCTAAAAATTTAACAGCAGGTATTATAATATACATTTGCTGTACTGTGTTGTGGTTATTATATGAAAAGTGATCGATATGTCGTTCACAAGATTTTTTCACGCTAGAAAATGTTGCTGCGTATTGGTAAGTTGCTGAAAGTCGCAATTTTAAAATTACTATTGTCAATACAGTTCATTTATAATCCTATAATTTTATAGTTTTTTTTCGGTCATAAGCGTAAATTTTTTTTAACGTTTTTTAAGATTAAATTAAAAGAATAATAATCAACACAAAGCAAAAAAACTTATCGAATTTAGTCTGTCCATTTAGGCCTGAAAACAATATTCCGGAATACACGACCGATTTTTGTTAAAGAATATCTTGAATTAAAATACTTTTTACAATGTTTTGACAAAGTGTGTGCAATTGCATACAGTGCAGCTGAGAATATTAAAACTAACCAACGTGTCGTAGACATGAACCTAAAAACATGCATTTTAGTACCCAGACAGCACAAGTACGTCCCATGGACGTCCGAAGGATGTACGACATCCATTGTACCAAAGAATATAGACGCTTCCACATGGAGTAATACAGGACCCAAATGAGGATGTATACACGACCTAAAGAGAACTTACAAAAAACTAATAAAATGAAAAGCAAAAATAAATGGGATTTTTATTATCTAAGTACTTATAATATAAGTACTTAGACTTACTTTACAAATGTAGCAACTCACACTACAACCACAACAATTACCTATAAAATTCCTATATACCTACTTAAAGACTATAATAATAAATTACCAAACTATAAACTAGTATCGAAAGCAATAAACTAAATCTAATTACAACCACAACAACAATAATTATAATTCGAGAAATAAAAGATTCTGAAAATGCTAGCTAAAAATAAAAATGCGTTAAGAAGCAACATAAATACGAGGAGATAAATTATCGAGTTAGAATCTATGGAGAGGGCATCACGTGACTAAGAACGACCTCACTTTGGCCATATTGTTAAGACCATTGTTTTGACACTTTTGGCAGATCGTATGTTTGTTTACATTTGTTGATTTTCGAATATTTGTAGTATAGATAAATAATAATACTTTTATAGAAACTGTAATAATATATTGTGATAGTGCATAATTATGGTTTCTTGTTTTCAATGTAGTTGCAGTAGCAGAAGCAATGTTAATAAAAAATCTTCAGGAATATCGTTTTACAGGTTAGTATACAAATATGTAAACAAAGTAATGGCCCGTACTTCAGAGAATAAATTAATACTATTTGACTGTATTAATTTATCTTTATGTATAATATATTGTGTTTTTAGTGTTTACCGCGGGATAAATAAATCATAGTTTATTAAAAATGTATTGCACTTTTTTAGATTATGATTAAATCTTCTGAATAACTAGTCATATTTGTATAGTAGTTTTAATATTATTGAGTCTGGCCCTGATCCCACCGCCATATTGGTATTAACGTTAGCCACGCCTGCCTACGCCGTTTTTAATACATACGTTAACATGCTCATAGCTTCTCCATAGATTCTAACTCGGTGGGATAAATAGAACCGTCGTTAAAACATAACAACATTCTTCTTTTATCTTCTAATTTTTAAATTTCAGCTCCACTACAGAACAAAATTTTAAGATACAACTCAGCTATAGGATAAGGATTTTTCTCTAAAAGGGGCCTCTGTCTGTTTTCGTATAAATTAATGGTATTTAAAACTAAACATAACTTTTTAAAGTAAAGTTTAGTAAGAAAATATTATATTTTGTAAAAAATAAGCTTAAGTAAAAACATGACACAACATCTAGAATACATCCCTGTGGGACGTCCCTCGGACGTCCAAAAGAAGTCCTGGGACGTTTGGACCTTAATATGGCATAAAATGGACGTACTAGGGATGTCTTGTGCTGTCTGGGTAGTGGCTCAACAAACGAATTTTTCATGACATATGTTAACTTATTTTAAAAAAATGTCAACTACTGATCAAATTCCGAAGAACCTTACAAAAAATAATATTAAACAGCTTGATATTGGTTAACGTATTTATTAAGACCAAGGAAAAAGCAGCAATGCTTAAGATGACCAGATTGATCTATTTGAGATTTTCTAGCTCACCAGGTCATCTAAGGCTCTCTAACAAGTTTAATTCTGGGACGTTTTTCTGCGGAAATTCATAGATACTGCTATTCTTTTTAATTAAATAGCTTGAAAGTTATAAGAAAAACACGAAAATAAAGGCAATTCAACGCGTCTGACAACACGAACATATCGGAAAAACGACTGTGACGAAATCCATAGATAACCAGCTAATTTTTTCAGGATACTTTCATTACCAGCCGTACAAAAAACTTTTTATACTGTCTGACTGAACTTGTTTTCCGATTTTCCTTATCGAAATTTGATTTTAACAAAACGGCTTTCTTTCAAGTAAGGAACGTGATGAAATATGCAATTAGTACACAAGGTACTATGGGTAATGTGGGTTCATAGATGAATGCTGAAGATATCTTGGACAGCAAGAAAAACTAATGAAGAAGTACTAAGGAGCGTCAACAAAGGCAGAGAACTACTAACGACTGTTAAAAATCGAAAAATGTCTTATCTGGGACATACAGTAAGGGAAAGTCGATATAAAATTTTACAATAATTGATCCTTAAAGGCAAAATAGAGGGCCGTAGAGGTGTAGGAAGAAAACATGTTTCTTGGTAAAAAAACATTTATGAATGGACTCAGATAAAATGGCCTCGGTCACCAATTTGTATAGGTATAAATTCGAGCTTGACCAACTTGGAGCAACTAAGACAATAGTTAGTCGAACTTAACCAGGACATATCGGCAAATGAATTCAACGCCATGAGAAAGGCGTTGTATGATAGATTTGGTTTCTGTTTGTCACAAGGTGGTGGTTGGTTTGACCATTTAATTTGGTGAGACTTTTATTTCCTTTTAATTTCTTTTGGAATTATTTTTAATTTAAATTTTCACACCCACTACTTCCAAAACAGCTAAAAAAAAATATGGTTTCAAAGATATTGTTTGGAAAATATCAAATAATGTCTTATTTCTAATTAAACTGATAAGTCTACATTGATATTAAAATTAATTTTACTGTTAAGAAACCTACGAATCGAATTCGTTTGGTGGCCCCGCCTACGTTCATTGTAATGCTAAGCTGTTATTTAAATCATTTCGTCCAAATTTAATTGTCTTATCACACATTTCAAATGCTAAAAAAAGGCGACAGAGTCAAATATAAATAATAAATTTGTCAACAATGTTCACCGATTCCTTTCTAATAAAAATCTTTTAAATTTTAGGGAAGTTACTGTAGGGAAATAATATTGCTATACCATTTTAGATATGTTTGTCTCATTCCCTACCGTTGTAATTGCATACCCACCTTAAATTATTTCCTATAGAGCAGCTTTTCCCGAAGTTTTTTGGTCAAGGAGCACTATTCAGTAGAGAAATTCTTCAGGGAGCACGTACCATATTGCACCTGAAACGTATATAGGCGCCACAGAGAACGAGAGATGTTAATTGGGGGAGGAAGATATTAACCATTACATTTTCCATTCAATTTATTAAATTATTTTTTCAATCGCAAACATAAGAACATAAGACATGGTCTTGAGACTGCACGTATTTGCTATTAAAACAACCTAATAACAATTTTTACTCAACGTAGTATTGAAATATTTATATTTAAGATTAAATGACACAATTTAATTCAAATTCCAACTGGTTTTATCCAAAAGTCAGAACAAAAGAAATTGGATTGGTCAAATTACTTTAAATAAATATGTTCTATTTCAATAATAATAATAATCATTGGGAAACAGATCTGAATAAACATTTATAAGATTTGTACTCGGAATAGGTACCGCCGCTGTTTGAAAATGTACTGCTAGCATCGAGTGAGGTTCTCAAGCGCCCCGGCAATGGCCCCGGCCCCATTATGCAGAATTGTATTTTAATTTTGTCGCGATCTCTCATAAACATAAAAGGCACGATGACGCCCTTTTAACATTTCAAAACAACATTTTTACATAAATCAGTGCTAGTTTATTTGAAAAAAACTATGCCGATCCCGGCAAAAAACTGCTGCAAGAGCTGCCGACAGGTACGTTTGAAAAAGGAACCGCTCCATGCGATGATAGCCTTTGGATTTTTTTGTTTAAGTCGCTTTTCTCGAATTTTAAACAGATATGGGGATGGGTACTTCGGGCTTTTGGCAAGTTTTGTGTTTATTGCAGAGCACTTGACGAGTCAGCATAAAAACATTTTAAGTAGGGTTTTAACCAAAAATGAAGAAATAGTCTACATAGGAAAATTTATCATTTATATTATTTTCCTTACATTATTATTACTCTGATCTTTCGTTAAAACATATCGATCGTTCGGAAGAAAAGGGTTACAACTCGAAAAAACTACTTTTGCAGGAGAAGGGTTTTAAGTTGTTTTAGGAGTTATTTTTTTATTTCCTAATCATAATTTAATAGAATTTTTTGCTTTTTATTTAAATAAGTAGGCTAAGTCGGGTTTAATTAAATGACATAATTGTGATTTTTCAAACTGTTTATTTATTGTTATAAAAAAATACATGCATACATCTGTAACATTATTAATCTAATTGATAATTATTAAATATATATATATATATATATATATATATATATATATATATATATATATATATATATATCCGGTTTTTTAGGCGTTACGCCTGTCCGGTAGAGATCTATGGAGGAGTATCACCGAGCCGCAAGCCCGTATCTCTTGCCGTACTGCTCCACCATAGGCCGATCAGATCCCAGCATATCCTAGTCTAAGCCGCAGATTCATCTAGAATTTTAAACTGCTGCGTTAGACTTTTTGTTTTCTGTACACCGAGCTTGGGCTCGATCCCACATCCACTAAACCATTCGACAGTGAAGCGAATGAGAGGCAGCCGCACAGCCCGCTGAGCTATCTGACCGACGATAATTATTAAATACACACCTAAAATCATAAAAATAATTAAATTAAATCATTACAAATTATTGTAAAAATCAAGATAATATGGCGGAACGCATTTTTTCTGTTCGACTAATGATATCAAACGTGTTTGATATTCCTGGTTTCGTGGAATATGCGTTTTTGATTTGGATTTGTTCTATATTAACAATTTTTCTCGATCTAATAACTTCCGCTTGGCAGAAATCTGCATCTTCAAAGAATTTTTATAAAATAATTTGTTTGGATTTTGTTTTCTAATTTGATTAATCTAAATGACGCAGTTTTTGCATTTTTAGGGATATTCACAAACAAGTCAGAAGTTAATTTTTTTAAATCCATAATGTCCTTAAAACAAAGTTTCCTTTGTTTCCTTTGTTAAGAAAGACTCCTTTCTTAACTAAACTGGTTAATTTTGTCAAAAAAACCGTCACAGCTTTTTTTATAACTAATCGAACTTTTAATGGGGACACACAAACAATTTTTAAATCATATTATATTTGGATTTTGCAACAAAACCAGGTATTTAATATTTTTTTCGTGCACGTAAATAATTGAAGGTCTTAACTGAATATATTATCGTAAAAAATTACAAAAAGTATTAAGAAAATTGATACAACAGTGAAGTTAACAAAAGACCGTGAATAAACTTAACACAAAAGTTGATTCAAACGTGTAACATGTCGTTATTTTACAGTAATTATTAAAAAATTAATCAAGAAAAAAATTTTGACATAAGACATAGTATGTGAATAAATTTACTGAACAAGTTGGTTCAAAACTGTTACAAAACAAAATGTTGCGGCATTGTTGCAAACGTAAAACAGTTAATTTAATCCAAGACTGTAACATTCTGGGATGTATCTGTTTTGTTGTAAAATTTACATGTATTTACTGCTTACTTTTTGCAAAAATATCGAATGTAACCTTTTTCTCCTAAATTTTTTAACTGCCACACCACAATATCAGTGACAAATTGAGATATAACGATTTTGTAGAAAACATTCTGTGAAAAATGCAAAAATCCCTGTGTTACATGCTGACATCTTTTGGCTGGTAGTAAATATTTTCTCGAAACTTAATCCGTTCCTAGTAGTAGAGGCACCTTTTTAGACAGTTTAATGAAATAAAGTGAGAAATGAACATTTTTGAGATGTAACCCTTTTCTTCCGAACGATCGACATGATTAGAAACACACCATTTTTCAATAACATCTATCAGTTAAATTTAATTTTTTTTTACTTTTTTACTTTTCCTAAAAATATAAATCTTGATCTGCTAAGTGGTAACTTTTATCTATATTATCATTTTTTGTTTCAGTGCCAAAGAAACCACACATACTCGACATAAAAGAAGTTTCGCCGAAATCGCGAAGAAAAATAGAATTGAGAAATCGAATACTCATTTGTACTGTACGAGGATTTCCCCTGCCGAAGATTACGTGGAGGCGGAAAAACCAAGAACTGCATCATAGCAGGGCTTATAATGTGCTGTATAAAAGGTATGCTTTACTAATTTATTAAAGACAAATTAATTATACTCAATTTGAAAATGTACGAGAGCAGAGTTTTATGTCAAAATATACAGGATGTCCAATTCATGAATTTTCTTTTCAATTTAGCCTATTAACCTATTTACTATAGGATTCTTAGTAACCAACATGTACTTAGTTTTGCCTTCGTTGATGACTAGACCGACCTGTTTTGCCACTGTTTTCAATTCTAGAAAATATTGCTTAACATCTCGCTTGCTACGCCCTATTATGTCAATGTCATCAGCCTATACTAAGATTTGTATCGATCTATTATAAATATTATAAAAACACTGTCTCTAATTCATTTTTCTTGGACTGTCATTAGACACTGTCATTCTCGTTAATCGGATAAGTTTTTCTGGTGTACCAAACTCACGCATTTATTGATATAGTACTGTTGTCTTGACACTGTCCTATGCGGCCTTAAAGTCGACGAATAGGTGATGGGTTTCAATGTTAAATTCTCATGTTTTCTCTAGGATGTGTCTCATTGAAAGAATCTGGTCAATTGTTGTTTTTTCTGGAATAAATCCGGCCTGGTATTTTCCAACTATGCCAACTGTGTATCCGTTTTTATTGGTCTGTAGAAAGTAATCAACAGTTCAACGTTTTTTACAGAAAGAAACGATGTGTACAGGTGGGAACTAATATATTTTTGTAGAGGCTTCTTAACTGAATCAATACATTTATATTTAGGTCAAACATCAAGACCATTAAATGTTAAACTAGGTGAACATCAACCTTATATCAAAAGTAGATACGGTAGATATAATAAATTTGATACACCACATGTAAACCCGCATGGGAAAATAAACATATAATTCACTGAAACAAGTACAAAGTCTACAAAGTCGTTGCAGGAACCCAAAACGCAAACGTAAAAATATTGAAAATTTAATAATTTAATTTGTATTTTGGGAACCATTTCTGAGGTGCCGATTTCTGAAAATGTCACAAGAAATAGCTTCAGAATCATATAACTTATATAATATCATCTTTGAATATAACTTTGAGGAACAAAAATCAATAAATGTACATGTACCCAAAGAACTAAATACATTCACATCCTAATTTGGAAATATACTCCGCCAAAAAAAGTATCGCATCACTTATAAAATTACAAATACTTCTGAAACCATTTTGTTAATTTAAATTATTTTTTTCTGACCTTTAAGAATATTCAGGCTAGAATAAATATTAAAAAGAAATTTGTAAATACAGCTTACTGTTTAAGAAAAAAAAAATGTTAATTGCCATTTTGTCTGATTTTTATCATCATCATCATCATTCCTCAACCTCTTGTATCCACTGTTGGATATAGGTCTCCTCCATGTTCTTCCACTGTTATCTATCTTGCGCCTTCTGTATCCAATTTCCGACTGTTTTTCTCAAGTCGTCCATCCATCTTTTTGGTGGTCTGCCTCGGTGTCTTTTGTCTTCTCTAGGTCTCCATTCTATGAGTCTTTTGGTCCACCTATTATCATTTAAACGTGCTATATGTCCAGCCCATCTCCATTTGGCTTGTGCAATTTTTTCTATGACATCTGTCACTTTAGTCCTCTCTCTCATTATCCTATTTGATACCATATCTCTTCTAGTTATTCCCAACATTGCTCTTTCCATTTTTCTTTGTGCTTCTCTCAATTTATTTGCAGAATGTTTGGGTAAAGTTATTGTTTCGGAACGATATGTTATTACTGGCAGTATGCATTGGTTGTAAACCTTTTTCTTCAAGCAAATCGGTAGCGTTCCTTTTAGAATATCTCGCATCTTGCCAAATGCTGCCCATCCCAAGCCTATGCGACGCTGGATCTCACAAGTTTGATTGTCTTTTCCTATTCTAATTTCATGCCCTAAATAGATATAGCTAAAGACCTGATGTACTTCGTTCCCATCTACCCTCATAACATCACTTGGAACTAAATTGGTCATGTATTTTGTTTTTTCAAAGTTTATGTTTAGGCCTATTTGTTCTATTGCCTGTTTTAGTTCTTCCATCATTTTGTGAGCTTCATTTAAACTCTCGGCTATAATGACAATATCTTAAGTATTCACCATCAATATTTATTCCCCTTTTAGCCCAATCTAGTTTTTTAAAGGCATATTCCAGAGCTGCAGTGAATAGTTGGGGGGAGATGGTGTCGCCCTGGTTAATTCCTCGCTCAATTCGATATTTATCAGTAAAGTCATGGAGTTTAACAGATGCTGTTGCGTTGTTGTATATATGTTTTATCAAATTTGTATATCTATAGTCTAGTCGGCTTTTTTCTAATGCTCCTAATACTGCCGGTAATTCCACGGTATCAAAAGCTTTCTTGAAGTCTATGAAAATCAACGTGAGTGGTTAATTATATTCAACACATTTTTCAATTAGTATTTTAAGTGCTTGTAGGTGGTCATTTGTTCCATAACCTTTCCTAAACCCAGCTTACTCCTTAGACTGATAGAAATCTAATTTTCCTTCTAAACGATTTGTGATGATCTTGGTAAACCATTTGTAGAGATGTGACAACAGACTTATCGGTCTATAATTCTCTAGGTCTGATATATCTCCTTTTTTGTGTATTAGGATAGTAATTGCATTGTTCCATTCTGTAGGGACAATACCTTAGTTTAGACATAGGTTGAATAGTTCAGTTACTACTTCCAGCAGTTTCTTGCCTCCTCCTTTAACAGCTTCTATTACTATTTGGTCATCTCCCGGAGCCTTGTTGTTTTTCATTTCCTTTAGAGTTCGTTTCACTTCTTCTATCGTTATGGTAGGCAGAAGTTCGGATCCTTGGTTCATTACTCTGCGTTCTCTAATTTGTGTTTTGTCTTCTTCTGTTAACTGGCTTTTGTATTATTCTTCATAGTAGCTTTTTGCTATCTCTACTATTCTCTCTCTATTTGTTGTTATATTACCTTCCTTGTCTTTTAGTTTAACAAACCAGTTAACCAGTTTTAACTGGTTTTTATATTATCACTCTTTATTTTACTTTTGTAATAAGTATACAGTTTGCGTTTAATTTAAAATTTCGTATTAAATATTGAGCATGGAAGGTCGTGACAATATAAATTTAAATTTAACGAGAGATAGAATAATTTCCCTCATTGAAGACGGAAGGAGTCAGATATATGTGGCATATTTAGTGGGTGTAAATCAGTCGACAGTATTACGAGTGGTAGTAAGGTACCGAGAGACTGGTCTTTATGAATAGTCCTTCAGGCTTTGCGTCGAAGACATGTCACTGCAAGTCAACTTCAACATGACTTAGCTGAGACTCGAAATGTACGTGTGTCTTCACAAACTGTTAGGCACATCCTAAGACAGTTTGGAATTAGGGCCAGAGTAGCTGCCACTGCCCCGAGACGTACAAGGGAACACCGTATAGCACGTCTAATTTGCAAGAGAGCACGTTAACTGGAATATCGATGACTACGAGATTTTGTTTATACACATCGGATCGAAGAATACCAGTTTATAGACGAGATGGCAAGCATTATTTTCAATGCAACCTAAGACCGGCGACAAACTTTGGAGGAGGATCTATTATGCTCTCTGCTCAGGTTGTTCCTTACGCCCCATTTATTGGTAATGACTTTGCTTTAATGCATAACAATGCACGCCCACACGTCGCAAGAATCGTTACCGAGTAGCTTCAAGAGGTAAATTTGCAAGTTTTGAATTGGCCAGCGCACTTCCCGGACTTAAATCCAATAGAACATGTTCGAAAACCATCTTTACAGAAGGGTGAGATCTGAAAAATGATGATGAAAAAAAAACAACAGTAAAAAATCCATGTTTTAAATTATTTTTAATACAAAATTTGCAGTTTCATAGGTGATGCGGTACTTTTTTGGCGGTGTATATTAACTATATATAACAAACAAAACAAATATACATTCAATATTTGTTTTATTACACATTGTGTGTTTTATTAATTAATTGTTGCCTAGACAACTTATTGAAATAAAGTACAGAATGACTATCTACCTTTTGAAGCATCCTTTACATATAACTATATTTATTTATTCTTACAAAATGTATTTTTGAATGTAAGTACTTACTGAATGAGTTAACTAATGTTTTTGTATGTTTCTTTTTTTGCATACCAGTGATGAAGACTGGTAAGTCTTTTTTGTTTTTTTGGGCAAAAAGCTAACAAGTTAGAATTGGCATTTTTAATTGGCTGTTTTTTTGTTTATTTTTAATGCACTTTTGTTCAAATTTTTGTTCCGTACATATTTGAATTTGGTTACTTTAAAGGAGTAAAATCAAAAATTTTTATGAAATTAATAAAATAAATCTCAAATGATTTGTTAATAATGTTCATTAATTTACAATGGTACAACATTTTACAACTAAAATCAAATTTATATAAATAGTTTTTATTTTACTTAATATATACGATAGAGAAATAAAGAAAATAAAGAGAAATAAACACAAGAATAAATATCTACTCCATATAATATTTTCTTCTATATTTAGCTCGCTTAAAGTGTTTGTAGAATATTTAACCTAACAAAATGTGAAGCGAAAGAAGCATGTGCATGTGTGAAGCACTTTTAAAAGTTTTAAAGCAAAACTACATCCACGATTTTTAATTTATGTAATTTTACAATACATTTAGTAAATCTTCATCCCCCTTATAAATATTTTATTCTTATTTTTGTTTTTTTTTTTTGTTGATTTTAGGAGGCAGAGCAAGTTAGTGATCAAGAAGCCTGATGCAGAGTATCTGGGCCAGTACGAGTGCGTAGCTGAGACGGTGAACGGACTGAAGGCCTCAAAAAACTTCACCCTTTTGCCTCAACCTAGTGAGAGCTTTTCTAGCGGTATATCTTGCATCTACATTCTTTTCTGTCGTCTTTTGTTGGTACTACAGTCAACCGTTTATGTTTAACAGTTCCTTTAACTGTACTAATACTATGTACTAATACTATAATAAAACACAAAATATGCTACCTGGCAAGTTTGATGAACATTTTTTTTATTTAAATAGTCATATAATATATATATATATATATATATATATATATATATATATATATATATATATATATATATATATATATATAAGGATCACTCAGACGAGTGGTGGGTTCTTATATCGGTCTCTAGGTGGCGAAATAAAAGACAAAGTTGATAGGCTACTTTATCTATTTTGAAGACGTTTCGCTTTCGAGTTTTGAAAGCATCATCAGTTCATCTAAAAAAAATTTTTACAATATGAGAACCACACAATCATGGAAACGATGTTAATTGTTACCTTAAAAAGACATGTAGCAGTCAATGTTATTAACAATGATGTTAATGAAACTAAGTAAATGGACATAATACGCTGATTTTGTATAAACAGTTAAGTAACTAACAACATATATGAACTTATAAAAATTAGCACAGCAAATGACCATGTGGTCTAAAGTAAATTCAATGTTATTTAATGTTAATTAGTGAGCAAGAACCAAGAAAATCATAGATAACTTCCAACTATTTAATGAATATTAAGCTTTGATTTTAACTTTAGGTAGCATTATAAGTGATATTAATAAAGTTTAAAAAGTAGTATAAATGAAGTTACCGATCAAAGCCCTATGAATGTCGCCGGGAAAATGACGTTAAATGAAACAGGAACGAACTAAACCGCGAAAAGACAGCCAACCTTGAGGTCAAAAATACTTTCGACAGATCAACAAGGTGTAGGTACCAACCCAAATTTTGGGCGGTCAATTTAAGTTTAAATGAGTTTGGATGACTACCCGGTTGTAAAAGACAACACAGTGAAAAAAGTTGGTAGTGTAATAGCAACTCCCCTCACTAATCAGTCCAGATTTACAAACAGGAGATTTTCGTTCAACCTCATAAGTATGTAATAACGTTAATCATTATGGCTAGTTAAACAGCCACAGGTAGTTAACGATTCATTAATTTCCAAACAGCCCAAGGTTCAATCGGTCACTTCATCTTTGATCGGTAACTTCATTTATACTACTTTTTAAAATTTTATTAATATCACTTATAATGCTACCTAAAGTTAAAATCAAAGCTTAATATTCATTAAATAGTTGGAAGTTATCTATGATTTTCTTGGTTCTTGCTCACTAATTAACATTAAATAACATTGAATTTACTTTAGACCACATGGTCATTTGCTGTGCTAATTTTTATAAGTTCATATATGTTGTTAGTTACTTAACTGTTTATACAAAATCAGCGTATTATGTCCATTTACTTAGTTTCATTCACATTATTGTTAATAACATTGACTGCTACATGTCTTTTTAAGGTAACAATTAACATCGTTTCCATGATTGTGTGGTTCTCATATTGTAAAATTTTTTTTAGATGAACTGATGATGCTTTCAAAACTCGAAGCGAAACGTCTTCAAAATAGATAAAGTAGCCTATCAACTTTGTCTTTTATTTCTCCACCTAGAGACCGATATAAGAACCCACCACTCGTCTGAGTGATCCTTATGTATATATTGGATTGACGGTCGTACTCCTTTTTCCGATATATATATATATATATATATATATAAAGGAGTACGAACGACCGTCAAACAATTATTCAATGAGTAAGTTGCAAAAGAAATAAATCTTTTGGTCACGAGTATATCGGCCAAAGGAGAAATAATAAAAGGAAATCACAGTTTCATTCCTATATTTGAAGACGTTTCGCTTATTGAATTTACAAGCTTCATCAGTTCAATGAATGGTGAATGAAGAATAATAAGGTGTAAAACAAACACACCATTCTCTTGGTAACCGTGGTCAAAATATTAAGTGTTGGTGTTGAAATAGTAGCCTTAATGTTTCTATGTAGTAGCATTCATGTATAACAATGCGAAAAAGTGTTATTTAAGAGTGAAGACTTTTAAATAAAACTATATAAATACCTTGGCTCTACATGGGCCTCTTCCATTTGCTTCCATCGATTTCTACTTTTGGCAATTTTCATCCACTGCTTGCCCGCGACTTGTTTGATCTCGTCTGTCCACCTCTTCTGCGGTCTGCCTACTCCTCGCCTGTTCTCTCTTGGTCTCCAGTTTGTTAATCTTTGTGTCCATTTTTTGGATTATCTCGGGCAACGTGTCCGACCCATTGCCACTTGAGCCTTGCAATACGTTCTGAGACATCAGTAATTTTTGTTCTTTCACGAATGACCTTATTTCGAATCCTGTCTCTCAAACTAATCCCTAGCAAGGCCCTCTCCATTGCTCTTTGGGTTGTACTGAGCTGCTCTAAGGTTTTCTTTGTGAAGGCCATGGTCTCCAGTCCATATGTAGTTACAGGCAAGATACATTTGTCATAAACTCTACGTTTTAGACACATTGGTATATCTTTATTCTTCAAAATAAAGCTTAATTTACCGAAAGCTCCCCAAGACAGTTCTATGCGTCTTTTTATTTCGGCTATTTAATTTTCTTTGCCGATTTTAATGGTATGTCCAAGATATATATAGTGGTCTACATTTTTAAGACTGAAGTTGTCAATAACAAGATTAGTTTGTAAATTACTCATTATTTTTGTTTTCTGAAGTTTCATTTTGAGACCTATTTTATTTGACTGCTGGTTTAATTCCTTCAACATTTGCTCCAGTTTCTTGATATCTGTACTAAATAATACTATGTCATCCGCAAACCTCAAATGACTCAAACGTACACCATCAATGTTTAGACCTTTTTCCTCCCAGTCAAGCTGTTTGAATACATTTTCCAATGCTAAGGTAAAAAGCTTTGGTGAAATAGTATCACCTTGTCAAATACCTTTATCAAGGCGCATTTTTTCAGTTTTTTCGTCTTCATTGATTTTGATGTGGAATGTGGCCTGTTCATAAATGTTTTTAATGAGTGTAGTGTACCGTGAGTCTATTCGAGCATCCTTCAGGGCTGACAAAAAGGACCAAGTCTCAATACTATCGAAAGCCTTGTGAAAGTCGATAAATGCCATATGTAAAGGTACATTATATTCTGTGGTTTTTTCTACTAGTGTTCTGATGGTTTGCAAGTGATCATTAGCACCAAACCCTTTTCTAAATCCCGCCTGTTCAACCGATTGATATAAATCAAGTTTTTGTGTTATGCGGTTGGTTATTATTCTTGTTAACAAATTGTATAAGTGTGACAACAAACTTATAGGTCTGTAGTTTTCAATATTAGTAGTGTCTCCTTTCTTGTGTAAAAGTATTATTTCGGCGTTTTCCCATAGGCTGGGTATTCTTTTTTCTGTTAGACACTTATTCAGTAAGACTTCCACAACTTCTACAACGATGTTGAAGCCCATTTTTAACATTTCAGACGTTATACGATCCTCGCCAGAAGCTTTTTTGTTTTTCATTTGCTGTAAGGCATGTCTAATTTCCAAAGAGGTTATTTTAAGGAGGGTTTCCGAGCCGACGACGTTTAGAATTGTTCTGTGGTCTGTTTCGGGGTTCTGTATAGTAGATGTATAAAGATTCTTATAGAACGTTTGTATTTCCTTGATTATTTGAGTTTTTTCGGTCACCGTATTCCCCTGTTGATTTTTGATTTTAGTTATCTTTGATTTTCCTTTAGTTAAATTTGATTTCAATACTCTCATGTTTCTATTGTTTTCGATGGTTTGCAATATTTGTTTTATTTTATAAGCCCGCAAGTCTGACCTTATGCTCTTTTTAACTTTATTGTTGATAGCTTTATACTCTGGTAATTCTTTCGATGTTTTTCTTCTTTCTTCCATTAAATTAAGTGTTGTTTGTTTCAGTTTCGTTTTTCTGGAATTTTTATTTTGAGAGAACATGAATTTTGTATGAAAATCTAATCCAAATTGATGTTTTTTTAAATTTTGAAAAAGTTCTTGGTTTCTACCTTTCTAGAGGGGTCAAATTTTCGTAAAAACATACTGTACAAGTATATTGTGCTATACAATGCCTAATATTATTATTATTATTAATTTTTACTGCTGTCTACTTTTTATTTGTTTGCCACAAAAAATTAATCTTCTTTCCTGTTTTATTGTACATAACAAATATTACATCACGGTTGACTGTAGGGTTTGTGTCTTTCATTTTTCATCCAGAAAAAGATCAAACTTTAGAATATTGTTATAATTTTATCAAATAATCACAATTTGTGATAAAGCGGGTAATTCCAATGAATGAATTATGAAACTCGGCAAATATATTTAATTTTGACTATAACAAAGCTTAAATTATATTCCAAACATATTCAAACCGAAAAACCGCATCTATACAGTTTTCGAACAATACATCAACTACTGTATGCTATTTCGATTCCAATTACGCCAAAATATGAATCGAAAATAGGAAGATAGTTTATCATGCACAATTTGCTTGTTTTAATATGATATACTGCGATCTAATTTTAGACAAAGTTATTTCGCATTTGCCGCACTCTCCATGCATTTCCTGAAGACCACTACATTAGTTTGTATGTTCGAATCAAATTAACTCGAATAAATTTATTATGTACTTTGTTTCTGTTCCGTTTTACGATCAGTTTATAGTACAGGGTGTCCGAAGTTGGAATTTACTGCCAAGCCCATACAGTTTAACCAAATTTATATATCTGCTGTAAATTAGTAATTAACACAGACCACAGGTTTTGATACTTTTTATAACACAAGTCGATAAACATGAGATCCTGAGAAAACAGAATATACTTTTTCCGAATGTTTTTGGTGCGCTGTATACGAATCTTAGCTCCAAATTGACTCCGATTTCTGAGATATTCTAACCTAAAACTGCAAAAATATCGGTTTTTGGCCATTTTTGAGGTTATGTAGACCCGTTAGCTTTTCTATCCTGGAATAACCT